TCATCCGCTTCAGCGCCTGGCAGTACGCGGGCACCGACAAGCTGTGGGCCGGCCTGGTGACCACGCTGTGCGAGGGCATCCGCCACAAGTATGGCGCGCTGCCCTTCAGCGTGTACTCGGTGCTCATCAACAAGCCAACCATGTCGCCGCGCTTCTACCAGCGCGAGTGGCAGTGCCGGCTCCGTGTGTGCCTGGTGCTGCTGCTGCTGCTGGCGGCTCTCGGCCTCGGCGTGGGCCTGCTCTACCTGTCGCTGGGCGGCCATGCGCTGGGCCACGCGGGCGGCAGCAGCAGACTGCTCCAGGCGTTCGGTGGCGCGACCACCTTGTTTTCGGGCTCCGGGCTGCTCGTGGCTGCGTACTCGGTGGCCAAGCACGTGTTCGTGAGCCAGCGCAAGAGGATTGAGCGGCTGGTGTCGCGTGAGAAGTTCTGCAGCCAGCTAGGCTTCATGTGCCAGGTGAAGAAGGAGGTGAAGCTGGTCACCGATTTCCTGCGCTTCCTGGAGATCTACCAGAGGTGCCGCCTGCGCGTCGTGCTCGAGGTCACCGGGCTGGACACGTGCTGCCCAGAGCGCGTGGTGGGCGTGCTCGATGCCATCAACACGCTGCTGTCTGATAGCCACGCACCGTTCATCTTCATCCTGGTCGTGGACCCCAGCATCCTGGCCTCGTGCCTCGAAAGCGCCGGCAGAATGAAGGGCACAGCCGACAACGGCTACCATTTCCTCAACCGCACTGTCACGCTGCCTTTCTCCGTGCCCAGCATGGGCCGCCGCACCAAGCTGAAGTTCCTGCGCGACGCAGTGCAGAGCCGCGAGGATCTACTTTACCGCGAGATCACGCGGAGCAGCCGGGACAGTACCGAGGATGCGCGGCTGCTGGCGGTGGAGATGCAGCCAGACACCGAGCGCGCCCAGAGACGCATTGACGCCGAGGCAGCCCGCCGCATCCAGGAGGCGCTTTTGTGCCTGCACGACGAGCGCGATTGCCTCTATGAGTACGTGCCCGACAATGTGGTGTCCATGCGGCGCATCGTCAACACCGTGCCCATCACCGTACGCCTGCTGCAGCAGCAGCATCAGGGTGGCTTCGGGGATCCCACGCCGCGGCAGGCCGTGGCTTGGGTCATACTTGCCAACCAGTGGCCGTGCCGCCTCAGCTGGGCGCTGCAGTGCCTGGAGGACCGGCAGCAGGCCGGGGACGCGCCCGAGGGTCGCGCGCGCCTCTGGGACGTGTTCTGCGACAACAGCGGAGAGCTGCACACCATGACCAAAGCGTTACAGGACCTGCTCGACCTGGACGGCGACCCTGAGCTCTTCCAGCGTTTCTTGGGCGCTGACTTCCCGTTCACGGTGAACGAG